TTGTCCGCCGCTGTAGACGTAAATCCGCAAAACGCCTGTGGAAAGAGCATTGTTCCATTCTTTTTTTTTATAAGGAGTTACACTCTTCATTTTTACGACATAATCGATTGGCCTTCGAGCTACTTATAAGTAGGCAAACATGCTGACGTTCTGATGTTCGCCCCAGTTAGCCCAGTAATTTCATGTGGGAAATCCAGGCCATCCGGGTTTTCGCTAGCTGGTTACACACAAGCAAAATAAACTTTATCTGCTTATCATTTGGCTGACGCCAAATGCTGCGCCTTGTTTTTTCAGAGATTGCAATTTTCTCCAGAAAGATGAGAACTATTTCCTTCGACCCTGACTCGACCTCCTGTGTTCCCGTGACGGAGAGGATAATGTCCTGAATTTTGGGCAAACGGCCTACGCAACAAAGGTGTCAAGTGACCGACACTGTGAATGAACCGCAGCTCGACAGCGGGGATACATTGCACAGAAATTTTGGTTTTGATTACACTAGCTACCGAGAAAGTCACCCTCCTCAAAGTACATGGTACACTTCGTGGACGAATAGTCTACTTAGAATGCTCCTTCGAGTCGGTATGCAGCATCCAGAGACTGGGGTAATATTCTCTTCATGGAGGATTTGCTCGCGGTTGTGTGTTTACGGCAGAGCGACTAATGAGAATAAGGAAGTCCAAGCGAACAAGTGTTCAGGGTGCCTGACATCTGATCGAGTAGCTGACTCCACCTTGCTTTGTGTCCAACAAAGCAAAATTAATCGTTTAGTGGTTCACTCTCTGGTTTTCAATTTATTATACGGAATTTCACGCTTTTGTAATGTCGGTAATGTACATGACATTTGTTTGAGACTCCACTTGTCCTCTCTTCGTTTATGCAGCGGCATTCCCGCGGAATTTGGATAGCTGGAAGATCAACTCACAGGAAAGTTGTATTCTTATAAAGGCTGTTTTCATTTCCACAGCACATTTGAGGGGGACGGAGAAACCCATACCTTAAGGACTAATAACGGTCAGGGGCCTTTGAATCTGGATGTACACGCCCGCCATCCTGCAGAAACTGGAGCGTAAATCCTCACATGAACATATAGGTTTTCTTAGTTTCCTACGACGCTACATGTCTTACTCATCAAAAACTTCTTTTCCCTCTCCTCTGTACCAAAAGTACCACTAATGTAACTGTTATATATGAAAGTGTGTTTCCCACGGGATCATCTTGGTCTCCCTATCCGTCACACAACGGTGAAGAAAATCTTAGACGACGTTTTGACCTCCCGATTTTCCTCTTAGTTGGATATGACCTGCTTTTAGTGAGAGCATGAGCTCTCAAACCAGGTAACGCAACTCCTGTCACAACTCATGGCACAACCAACAACCCACCGCTACGCACTCATACGCTCCACAATAACGCACTGATGATGTCGCCTCGATTGGTGATGAAACGTTTGCAATCAAATTGCCCAGCTCAGCGAACAGGCCAACGACCATCAACTCCTGTCAGTTATGTCGTAATCGTGACTTTCGAGCGCAACGCATCATCGTGTTCGTTACTTATCCATTATAATTTGGGTTGAAATTGCGTTTCTACACCAAATATATTTGTCTGTCTCGTCTCCTATCTCTATACCTTCTTACAATCGAAGAATTGGAGGTAGTCACGGTTGATTTCGATAAACTCAGGGATGTAGTCTGGTCACTGTCTAAATACCCCTAATGTTCATAATTTAATTTGAAGTGGTTCCACCAAGCTAGTAATAGCAAATAAGACGTAGCTTGATGAGAGATAGTGCTTTCTATAATAAAGGTAATCTGAGACAGTTTACTGAGACAAAATTCATACAGGAGGTGAAAAGCTAACGGTTCTACGATCACATACTAATCACACGGTAGGAGTCAGCTACGGATTTCTTCGTCACTAGTAATTCACATGGTTCAGTTCCTCTTCCTCAACCTACCACCTTCTTTCATTTTACGCGATATTCATAATCGCATAAAAGTCCCACCGCCATGCTTTTGTCCCAACAAGGTTAACTGAACGCAGGTGTGACAACGCAGGCTATACGCTTTAGTGTAAAAGTAAGCGTTGTGTATGTGCCTTGGTAAGTGCCACATTCACTTTGGCTTTCGTTCAGTAACGCCCAGCACTTCGAAGCGGACAACATAAAAAGTTTGTACAGGCCATTGTAATGCTGTCCACAGGTAGTCACCCCTAATGTGCTGGAATCATATATAGCCAATGTATACACAATTGCGTCAACCAACATAAATTCAGTTACGTCAATCTTACATAAGTTGGCTTGTCCTGTAAACTTTTGCATGGCTGAACCAACGGTGTGTGATAAATCAGGTAAGCCATGTTCCACTGAAAGGCGCCAGAACATACTTTTGGCTTACAACAACCGGGAAGACTTAAAAACCCTTGTCACTGCTCTCACTATACATAAACAAAACCAACTAGTAAGATTTGATTGTGTGCACAATGGAATCCGTGAAAGTCACGGTGGTCATAAACCAATGTCTGACGCAGAACAAGTTAGGAGATCAAGGATTCAGAGGTGACCTGGGCGGATGAATATTTTTCAGTAAAGATCCATTTTGCTGAGAAAGTGTTACAGTGCCATCACAAGCTATTTGGTCGGTCAGGTTAGGGAATGATGAAATCGGATAACGAGATGATGTAAAGTGTTTTTGGTGGAGGCTGGAAAACGAAGAAGGAAATAAATGACCCGGTTGGATGGGCGAAAGTAAGGTTGCTTTCACTATAAAACGTTAGCCCCTACTTTGGCCAGTTTCAACGTAAGGTGAAGCCGCATCCTTAGTAGAGCCTATATAGGACGAAAGGCTCCATCACTCCTGGAGGCAGCTGAAATTTCTTGGTGCTGTCTGACCAATTGGTCATCGTAGAAATGGGCTTCTACACCAAGGGGAGCTGCCATCCTCAGCTTCTTGAACTGATGTACAGCCGAAAGGCTATTGTTTGCGATGATGAGTCTTGTCACAGTGAGCGGAACGTGCTTACTGATGACCTGCACTCTGATGGTACGTTTCTCCATCTTGACCTATACTCGCCCACCTCAAACCATACAAGAGTATATCTCGGTGTGGTAATGATTAGTTATCATTTGGAGCAAGCGGCCCCTGACGCACGAATGGCTGTCAACTACCGAGTTTGCAACATTGTGGTCTGTTTACTGTTCACACATCTGTTCATTGTTTTTTTTTTAATAACAAACGTTCCCAGAATTAAGGAGACACTTTATCTCATTTAACAGGTCCCGGGTTAGATCGAAACGGGTAACTAACGAGAATACTTGGTAGTTGAGAAGGAAGACCGAAGCGTACGAATTCACAGACCAGACAAACTGAGAGGAAGGATGGCCTCTTGAAAAGAAACTATTGATTACTTAGAACCTGTCAGCAGTGCTCAGAAACCGACGAACCATCAATTTGACTGGAAAACCGTCTAATTATTCTTTCCTTCAAAGCTTCACTTTGATTCGACTAGCCACTGAGTAATGACAGCCTTTTCAGTGCATAAAGTTCAACTGCCTTGAATGGGGTAAAGTTTACGTGCAACCCTGTCCATTGTGTCACAGTTTCCTAGGTTCCGGCGCACTGTAATATCCAGAGCTGAATTTTCGTTGGGGTCACCTGCAAGAAACTGATAATCCTGGTACTACTGGCCGCTCTTCTTCGTATTAGCTTGCATCATCTTCAGCAAGCACCTCAGTTACCACCAAAATTGCAATAGTATATGGAGGATATATCAGTAGAGTCAGTACAAACCGCTTTTGATCACTCGTTACGCTTAACTCTGTACATATGGTCACAAATATTTCACCCACTCTGCACATAGCTCTACAATTGCAAATGATACAGATAGTAGCGCTATATCCTGCTCAAAGCAGGTTGATCGATGGATTCTTCGAGACGCAATTCGTACAGTCGATGGTCAAGAATTGTACGTTTAAAACTGAGGCCAATCTCCGGACGTCTTCACTACGGTGCAGTAACATGCTGCTTGGACCGAAACCCATTTTCATCACAGAGAACACCACAAGCCTCCATCACTGGTCTGCGGCCGTAGAATCTGTAACCGAAAACCTGTGGAAGTGGCTTTGTGTTAACTTATTATCAGACCACACACAGACGTGTGAACTACACAATCAGCCAACATACGAAGACTTCGCTGGGGCTATGTTACTGCCAGTCAGTAACGTCGGACTGCCAACCAGTCTTTTATACTTAGCCTGGCCTACAAAATCCTGTGTATTTTTCTTCTGTATGACCTTGAGGTCGAATGTGCTTCTAGGCGATTCTCCCATCAAACTCAAGTGACCAGTGTAACAGGACCGTTGAAATCGGAAAGCGCATGCAAAATCTAGCACGTTTGCACGATGGACAATTCCAACCACAATAGAAAAAACTCCAAAAAGATCACAACTATAAGGAATCATCGCTGAAGTAGTAATGAAGAATGGAGCACATGAATATTATCCTCATTGAATCCTGATGCAAATGAAGTAACTCTGAATGCGTCCCCATACGTCACCAACTACACTCTACCGGAATAAATGCAACGTAAAAAAATCGGAATCGTCTCGCTTTGGAGAGCTACACAATCCAGTGATCCCCCCTGCAAGGTTAACAATAGGTACATCTCACTGTACAGAGCGTCATTAAAATATGCCAGACCCGGGCGACCACAATTCATTACGTGACACTTTCTGTAGTGGTTAAAATGAACACTAACCGGTTTGGTCATTTAGCCGATACGATTGTGGGGATAATCCCAAACAGGAAAATGGTCCAGATATTTGCAAATTCCGGATATCTTCTCAAAAGATGCTGCCTTATCAGCTCACAAGTCCCAATAATGCCTGGTTTCACATTAATTCCACAAAACCTGCTACTTTTCCGATACAGAGACAAGAAGTTGTTTGTTTGACCTATTAGTACGACTAACAGAGGACGCTTGTAGGTTGTGCATGCATGGCTAACCTTGTTGTACACGGTTATAGCAGCTTTTTCTGCAGTACCACGACATCGACTATGCCTCCCAGTCATAATGCAGCCAGTCCAGCTTGTATTCAATTTCATAACATTCACCGTTTACTTGTTATTGTCAGAGGATCGTGCCAGGAATGCTCTCAGTAAGTTAGTTGACGCGTTGACCTCCGTTTGTTTACAAATATCAAGGCGACCTGCATTGCAGATACATTTGGCTTTGTTAATACAGACGAATACTGTTCACGCCGCTTATGTATGTTCAGGAAAAGGCGAAACGGGAAGGATCATCAGATTCGGGTGTGAAGTAATAAGAACAACCGTGCCAGAACACAAGGAACTTGCAAATGAGTTATGTGGGTGGAAATTCAAATACCCACAAGCGGACAATTGGCTAGCAGTTGAAGATGATGAAGAGGGCGGTCGCTTCGGCGGCGCACTGACCTTTGAGATCGGCGAATTTCTATATCCTATTGGGCTGCCCGTTACTCAAAACGCTGCCAAATGTTCGCTCGGTTGGCAACTTCAGACATATTATAAGAACTACCATAAACCTGTGGGTTTTTTGTGTGTCCGAATCGATTTCACAACCTAAGCCTCTTGTGCCAACGATTTTCTTTCCTCATCTGAAATTTCAACTCTTTTGGTAATCGGTCGGTTTCCATGTGCACGTGTTATCAACAAGGTTTTTGTATTTGATCGACCGTTAATTGCTTATTCTCTGACTGGCGTCTTCATCAGAACTGTTAAATCCGCTTTGCAGTAGCACAGGATCGTTCTGCTGCGCGATTGGTCCACCTGTAAAACCATATTCTCGTTTTCGAGTTGCCAGTGTCTAGTAAAATCACAAACTACAGCGCACGAAGAAGTTCAAGCGAATACCGAGTGCAAATGCCAGTTAATCCGAAAACTCTCTTTGCATAATACAAAAGTAAAGTCGATTTCTTGCATTTTCCCGTTAGACGTAGGGCTACTGAAGTTAGGCACCTTATGACTAACACTGAAGATACCCAAAAGATATCTGCGACAGGGAAGGTAAAAAGTGCAGCTGATGACTCGCCTTGTGGGATGAATACCTTCATAAGACAGTAGGACCGATCACCCCAGGCCGGTAGGTGAATGCAGGGTCAGAAGTGGCTATCATCAGAGTGCCGGAACTTCCCGTACAGCCACCACTTCCACCCTATTTGAAGTTATCCGATAGGTGATAGGACACCACGTCCAAAAGAAGGTAAGAAAGAGCAAAAATATGATTGTCGAAAATGTCACCAGCAAATATAAGTGGAACATTCAGTGGCGAATAAAATGACCTGAGAGAAGGAAACCGAGGCGAAAACCAAGATTGTAGGAAAACAGTCAGGACTGTTCAATGTCAGTTGTACTAAGTCTATACCCGGCGCAATGTAGATATGAGTGAAAAATCAGCTCATAATGAGATTCCGTCACAGTGTTCTTGCACATAGCCATCAACGCGATCGATTATCACGCCAGTAAGTCCGTATTTGGTAGCTTTGGCAAAGAATTCGTCCTCGGACACACCAGATCCATAAACAAAACACGCCAGACATTTTTCTGTCAAATCTGAGGCATTTTGCGATATCTCGTCCTCGGTTATGGGATGTTCTTTGGGGTCAGAACCAAAATGCGAACCCAGAGTGACCACTCCATCCAAACCCATTATCTGTGCCCAGGACGTTGCAACTGCCAAGCTGGTATGTCGCAGGTCCACGTGGAACATATCTGGCGGTTCTGTGGGCGATGGAACCCCACCACGAGTGATGAACATTACAGGCAAGTGCGACTGTTTGAGGCGAAGTACGGCACATACGTCAGCATTGAAGGAAGACAAGATAACAACCCGATCACCGGCGTTTTTCCAGATAGTCTGTGGATTAACAGGAAGATCAGAGCAGTGGATGCTACACAATGGAAGAAGCAATGATGGTAAATTATAAAGTTGGTGAATAAACGAAGTAGGAGTAGAATACATTTGTAGGAGTTAATTTCGATACGGTACAAGATGGCTAGATCGAGTAATCATAAGTCGACAACGGCGGCCAGCACCGAGCTGTTGACAAACACAAGCCAATGGTTTCAACTGTGAGTAGAAAACTGCTGACTTTTTCATGACGTGGTTTAGTGTTATACCTCAAAACTCTACAATATTGGACCGATCATTCTTTGGTCAAGGATACGATAAATGGAGCCAGCCTCGCTAGCGGGAAGATGGATAAAGCCCTTCTGTGGTACTGCCATCTACATAGCCCCCCCCCCTATATTGTCAGTCACCCAGAATCCATTGTGAACGGAAAGGGTCCTTTACACTTCTGATACCAAAAACGATATAAAACAACATTGAAATCATGCAGACTAAAGTAAAAACCTGTACTATTATCCTTTCCCCTCATTCATACATGGCAGCTTTCCTCGGAAAGGAATGATGTTGGCTGATCTCTTAAGACTGACTGCGACGGCTATAATCCTTCTAGAGGTAACTGCTTCTGGTCAATCATGTGGTCTGTTCAGAAGGGGACCGACTCCGTTAGCTTTCTCCGATATCATTATAGCGAGAGGGGATGGTAACTGCGATAAGGCACTCTACTCGACACCGGATAGTAGTGGTTCAGTCAAGGGGGCGAATACAAATAGATGATTTACATATTCATCATAAAATTTGCCCTCAGAGAGCTCTTTCATACTCCCGAAGTACTCGCCGAGGTTATCATACGCCAAGTGTTTATCGAGTCACTATTTGACATGGGCTTTCAACAACTGACCGACTGGTTGTTTTTGCTCTACTCGCAGGAGCCGCTCTGCGAGGTAAATAGTCTTCTGATACATCTACGAAGTATAACTAGATTGTCTAACTTAGGCAGGTTGTCTTCCACAAGCCATCTGAAACAGTCCAGAATGACTGACCGACGTTCCCACCAGACCCTGCAATATGGCAGACACAACGGCGACCAAACAATCAGTATCATTAAGACCACACCTCTGATCCACAGAGCACGAGAAATCACAACACGGTAGTGCAGTATACTTTCGAAGGAAACTGAAATCGACCGGCTCCAAGTGTATGGAAGCTACACTGACCTTGGGGATTCCAGAAGTAACTTCGACTTTCTCAGACAGTTAGAACATACGAAGCTCTCCAGTTAAATGAATCTGCACATGCGTGTGAGGTTTGAGCTTGATTCATCCAGGTTTACAGTAGCACTCTGCACTTTAAAAGTGGGAACTACATGTCTGCAAACCAATTTATCCCTTCCAAATGTTACGTTCAATCATATGGTAATACTATAGGAGGGACCAGTTATGACAAAACTGTTACAGCGTGTTGATCGGGACTGCGGTAAGAATGTGGAAATCACCCCAGGAATAAGACAGCATTCGACGGGTGGTGTCTTCCGGTAATTTTTGTACAGTTACTTTGTTACTCGACATAATTCTCGATTCTTTAATACACAGAATTATCTAGTGGAAACAGTAATGTGGGACATTTGGTAATTCATCAGTTTCTTGATTCTCACCCGCCACATTCTATTAACCGACCTTCATCGCAGAGCACATTCCGGTCCAGTGATCCGGGTAGTCCGTGGTTATCCCGTCCAGCTAATAGCAGGCGAAGAGTGTGCTCATATCATTCCGGCACATCTCACCACGCGCACGCGAGCATTGGGTTCAACCGGGTAGAGCTAAGCTTCATCATGGTGTGTGCAAGCCGTGATGAATGGCTCTTAGCCCCAACTTTAAACACAGTAAAAAAAAGCTCGCCTAATATAATTCTAATAGACAAGGGAAGCTGAAGCTAACAGCGGAGTGCGATTCAATCAGAAACTGCGAACAACTGGTGGACGAACGCTACACAAACTTTCAGTCGATGATGGCAAACAGGATTGGCAGATTTTTCTTGTCAAGTTCGACAAAACGCAGAAAAATTGGGGGAAGTAACACATATGATGTATGGATAAATTAGAGAACATGTTCATAAATAGCTTTGGGTGATTCGACATGCTCCAGCTTTACGAACATTCGTAACGTGGAACAGCATTTTTATAATTTTACTATTTAGTTCCTCAACGTAAGCTCAAAGATAAGTCTGACGAATTCAGACCCGGTGATTGTGGAAATAATTTCTTCAGACCACAAACCCCGAGCAGACGTAAGCAACTCGGAATGTATGGTCGTGTTTTTCGGTTACACAGTACGTGGAGATTTTGTCACAAAAATAAGTGGGATTGACTGACCCAAGAATATAGTGGTTCGAAGTCAGTTTGAGTGTTTATGCAACCGGGACCTTATTCCCCAGTCCCATGGACTTTCTAGCTTTATGATATTACCAAACAGAAAACACCTTTGGGAAAGCCGGGAAGCATGAAACTCGATATTAGGGGGAACCGGTGTATTATAGAGGCTGTGACACCCTTTAGGTGAACAGTATTTCGGACAGACAGTGACCGACAAATCAATCATTCATAGGGCATGAGAGAAATAACTTACGTCTAAAATTTTGTCACAGAACTTGTTTATTTTCGCAAAATAAGAATGAGGGCCCGCCAAATTCGGGGTGATTGGCACATCTTCATGGATCGCGCGTGTGATCTTTCCCAACAGCGTTTCCCTGGGGTATTTTAATTCAACATTAAATCCCAGTTGGGTGGAAGTTTGGCGGAACGCATCCGCCAATTCGGGCAGAGGATGTCCATGAACACCTTGTACATCCGGTAGTGGATCAGTCGAAGTGAGCGCTTTCGGATGTGTTATACACCCACTGCTCGAGTCTTCGATTGGACGAGCACTGGGGTCACGACCAAGGAGACCCCTTAGCTCGGAAAATGAGTAACGGACCACCAAATTAGTAGTTTGCTCGTCGACCGGTGGATCGGCTACGGGAAAAAGGAATAGCTCACCTATCATTGACGGCTAATCAGAAGACGGAAAAGCAGACAGCAGCAATAAAAGACAAGATAAATCACTGGTCGATTTTAGCAAGCTGTCTTCCTCAAGGGAGGGCCAATGTGTGTAATGTCCATCTAGAATAAAACCGCATGGAACGGAAATATATGGCACTTCAGAAATGAGAGGAATGAGCAGAGACACATGAACTCAATAACTGAAATTTTTCCCTCAGTTGCATAGGACGCAATTGAATATATACGGTTTTAATTGGTAAGAGTGTATACACTGTGCTTGTCGGAGTGAGAGTCCTAATTATCAACTGAAAAGACGAGTCTCACAGTACATGCGAGGGGTCATTAGGTGGCTTGCACCGCTCAGGATTGAAGAAATCGGTGAAAAAGGACTGAGTGATTGAGTGTGGTTTCTTTCATTGTTAAGAGAAAGAATGCAGTTTTCATTCTATCGCCAAAATACCAATTTCACGGAACGCTTGTGTCACTTTTGAAATGCAATGTAAATATCCAGTTTTACGCAGATCACCGTCTTCAGAAAGAGTTCTTTGAAGCATTGAAACATGTCTATAGACCCAAAACTCAATGTCTGCAACTTCTCCGAGACATCTGGACGTGTCAAAAAGCCACAAAATTAGGTGTAAGAAAGGCCGACTTCTCCACACCTTTTAACTGTCCATCGGGAAGCCAACAGATTCAAATGAATCAAATACCAGCCCATACAGAGCAGAACCATATGGACGATCCCATAATGTTGGAAGAACTACAAACGAGAATTTCACAAATATCAGACAGGTCTTTGACAATGAAGGACTATCCACCGAAATGTTCCAGTCTGATGGACAAGAAATACGACATATATTTTTATAAAGGAAACCACTCATATATTTCTTCAAGTAATCTGTCCGAGATGGAGAGGTGAGGATGTCCCACCGGGCTACAAAGATGCCACCATAACGTCTTCATGCAAATAGAAAGCAGGCGAAAAGTAGAAAATTACCGTGGAATGCGTCTGCTTTGTGGTGCTGGCAATATCCTGGCCTATATTTTGGCTAACCGGATGAAAGCGGATATTTTGATTGAATTCGCTTTAGCGTAGAAGGGACGAAGTAACGTTAACCTTACCTTCGAAATGACAAGAGTACAACAAAAGTGCCGTCAGTTACGTTTTGTCCGTTGATTTCACAAAGGCCTTTGGTTCCCTGAACAGAGGAGCGCTGTGGATCATCACTCGGAAAACTGGCTGCCCAAACTAATTTGTCAATCGTGGCAAGTGTTCCCATTCTGGTTGTGGGGACTACGCCTGCAGACATCAACATTAATACGAAACTGCGTTGTGGTGCCGATGCTATTCGGTTTGCATCGGACTGCAATATGCGCGGAAGCTTCTCGAAATTCAGATAGTGTGGCTATTCACTATTATCTGGAAGGTCATACGTTTAATTCAAAACCTTTTTTTTTCAAACTAATGCTGTGTGATTCAAAGGTCCGTACTTTGCTTCTGGCTAACGATTGTGTTCTATTGAAAAGTCCCAAAGTGCAATCACAGGGTTTGACGACAACACTTGCGCCTGTGGCATCCTGCTTTGACATAAATAATTCTAAAATGCTTGTTCGCTATCAATTCGCTCCCTGTGCGTGTCTCAAGTAGATTAGATCATTTGGACTGAGCTTTGAATTATTTGCATAGCAGAACAGAAGAACGCTATGTTTGGTGAGTGAGAAACGACCCGCTATTATATGGGGAAAATTTAACGGGAAACGCGAATCTCATCTTTGGATATACGATGAGTGCGTCGGAATGCCAGTCTTTTCCACCAGACCAAGTCCTCAAAGGTTGGGTTACTCACACCTAAGTCTGATTTTGATTGGGCAAACTACTGTGGTTGATCAACCCGGAAGCCCATAAAAAACACCAATCCACAAATGATCAGCAACTTTGTAACTGAAAACGGACAAGAACCTTCGTCTGTCAACCAGAACTGCTTACGTAAATGCGCCAGATTGAAGCTTCGGTTGCAATCCTTCACGCTGAAAGGGTCTGTGTGAAAGCGCACAGTAAAGTTGTGATGCAGCAACACAGCCTTGTAGTCTTTCGTAACTGTGGCGTCACACTCCACCATTGGCAACCCCAACTGTTCGGCCCGACGAAAGGCACAAATTGTGTTGTCCGGCCACAGTCGATCACTTTCATGGTGCACATGTTTCATGCCAGCACCAGCGTGACCAATCAGAATGGGAGTTTGGAGTGGCCACAACCCATCTGGTCCTCCATTGTTAACAGCGTTTGCCTGATGAAATCTCACTGGACTAACTCGAACGGATCGAGGTGGAGCGGTTTTGCAGGCCGGTGGGTTGTACGCATGTGCGAATAGGTAATACACTGAGGAGGACATAACAAACGTGAAAATAGTAGTCTGTTGAAAACAAGAAACAAGAAATACTGGTCTGTGAGGCCTCAGAATATATGCATAAAAAAATCGTTCGCACATAACGTGGACGGTGGAAAGGATTCATTAAAAAGTGATATTCCGTTTCAGAAATAGTACGAGTCAGGGCTCTTACTGTATCTAGAGGGTGGATTGCGAAAACTAATTACGTATCAACTAAGCCATAGATATCTGATAGAACTGAAGATGAAAGATAATAGTTCATCTGTAAGACCCTTTCGATGCCTAGCCGTCACGCCACCCGAAGGAAGCACGAGGGTTGGGATGCTGCCAGGTTGCCCAAGCCTAGACAGAGGAAATCGAGAGGCAGATGTCGGGTCCGAACCACGGACCTTTCGGTCAGTAAATTCGCGGTCTAACCACTGAGATAAATATCAACACGCATTTCCCGGATGAATTGGACTTATCGTGCTACGACGCTCATTGATGTTCCACATGCACAAATGACGCTATAAAACCTATGTAGCAATGCCACAGAGGGGGGTTGCAACGGCATCAAGAACGAGATATATTGAAAACGCTTATTGTGCAACAACAGACTTGCACACCATATTGCAACTACGTCTCTCGTCGTCCTTCTCCACAAGGGACGGCACTGAGTAGGATCTTCTTGCAGAAGGCTTCAAAGATGGGACTTTTGAGATACAGCGAGAGCTGTATAAGGTCAAATTATAAGAAACTCTCTCCCGACCATAGACCCGGAGCCACATCCGAAGCGTTTGAGCCAATTCTTTAACGCCTGCTCAAGTAATTTGAGAAACTCTTACGACAGACAACCAGAGCTTGTCTTTTCGAGTCCTTGTCAGGCTTGATTTGTTTGGTTGGGAAAAGGGACAAACTGGAAGCAGACGAACCATAACAAGAGGATGCGAAGAAACTTGCGATTACTAGTCATCGTTTAATGACTCAGACCCTTTTGATACGACTCGGAAAACTCCATCGCTCATTGAGGAAATGAAGGGACAGAGGATCGAAGCCAGTGAGTACAACAGTCGATATGCTCTTGTCGTGATTAGTTTGGTTATGAAACGGGTAGAGGGTCGAAATACAATTGAATCACCCATCTTGAGTGGGGGGAATGGAGAAGCCAACGATGGACACGAACCCATTAGGAATTCTAGCCCTGAACATTACATTCTTCCCCTGGAGATTTGGCATCATTATTAGGCAACCAGCAAATATTCACGTATGACTCACAATAAAGTGAATCCAACTCCGATCCAGTTGCGTCCTCGATAGATACGCAAGCCACTCCTTGATCATCTTCCGTTGAACACTTTAGAGGGACCTTCGCGGACCCAAATATCGAGTTGGATTCATTCGTACATTTCAGCTCAACAGTCTAGTTTGACAGAAATCGAGTGGAGTAAATGCGGAACATACATACAACGAGGGCATCTCGGGCATCTCCAATGTGTGCAAAAAGCCACTGGCACCACTCTCCGATATTGGAATCCACGTGTCTAGAGCACATACGCCCGACTTCCGCCAAGACAGTGTCGAATTGGTGTTGCAGTTCTGGAAAAGGGAAGAGCAGCGGAAATAAAGTGGAAGAAAAAACATATCAGTGTGATTACTTCACCAACCTCGGCACCTCGCTGAGTAAACTGAGATCAGTACCAAAAATAAACATTTCACACGTACAAGTATGCAAAAATGATGATAATATACGCATCGCTTAGATATTACCGACCGAATGACAGCCGAAGAAACATTCACTACTAGGCTTATGTTATTCTACTGAGGTGAACTGCATGCATCCTATAAGTTTATTCACTCATTGCCTGAGTGCTTTATGACGATGGGCTTAATAAAGTAATGCCATCAAAAGCAGTACATGCTTCGGGTGCGGCAAACAACCGTAATGCATAAAATCGTAAAACTTTATTGTCATTGCTTAGGTATTCACTCGTGTAAATACCAAACCATGCTAGAGAAACCGTCGTTCAGGTGGTCGCAGTTCTTTCTTCATAATGGGGAATGAACGTGTTGAACCGGCATTCAGCTGGAAGGAGGAAACCGGCACACATACATTGGTAGCTTCCCAGCGTCAATCACCCTGGACTTATTTTGTGAACAAAATTGGTGTGCCTTGATGCCTCAGAAACTTCCAACTGTGTGTCACCTCCGTCGTGTTTCGCGCCCACCAAAAATCACGTTCCTCTGTTCTGTAGTGCAAATAATTCAAAACTTAGTTCGGACGATTTAAACTACTTGAGACATGCTCAGGAGCGAGGAATTTTGGAGACCGCCGCAACACGGTTTGAAGGTTGAAGGTTTTCATTATTCATCCATCGCCGCTGCCGCACGAATCCGGCCACTCTGAGTTGTGTAGATGAACAACACTTGGCGGATGTTATGTCGTAAGTTGTTTGCTAAAAAACTTCAAGGGGGTCGTTACTCGGTGGGACAGTCAAGCAGAACAAAGCCCGTAATCGGTTGACGTTCTCGACTGTGAATTCGTATGTGTTAGTGATTAGCCGCATTTGAATAGCAGTGGTGTACAGCCTCAAAAGAACAAAACACACTGCAAATGGAAGACTTGAGTTTTCAGTCATGACTAGAATACCAAAGAGAAATTTACAACTGCTGTATCCCAATTATAGCAAGTCAGCGGTTCGGATCCTGTCAGTTCTGACTAGAGTTTGAACTCGCTAGTATTGAACCCCTTAATGGATTATATTTTCAGGTGGCTTATTAGTATGCTTGCGAGTTGACCGTGTTTCTGACGAACTGTGTAGCTCCATCTGTGAATCAAGATGCCTCAGTGGTTAGGACGCGAAATTACTGACCGCATGGACCATGGTTTGAACCCCCTCTAACTATGCACTTCGACTGCTCCTATATAGGCTTGAGCCACCTGGCATTATCTCAGCTCTTGTGCTTCCACCGGGTGGCATGGCAGCTAGACACCGAAAGGGTATTACAGCTGAACGATTATCATTATAATTTATCACTATTACTATCACTATTATTATTTGGCGATGAACTCATAAGGTTTTATGAACTATAAACTCCTTAGATGAGCCTGACGATAAGTTGTGAGATTTCTGAGCGAGAAACATACCGGGTGGCTGGCAGCTAGACACCGAAAGGGTATTACAGCTGAACGATTATCATTATAATTTATCACTATTACTATCACTATTATTATTTGGCGATGAACTCATAAGGTTTTATGAACTATAAACTCCTTAGATGAGCCTGACGATAAGTTGTGAGATTTCTGAGCGAGAAACATGTGGTTCATATCCAGTCATGATATGCATATCGTCTAGGTAACCTGGCAACGCTTTCGCCCACGCTTTGTTTGGCCTATCTGCTGAACGAATGCTTCAGGCAAATTATTTGTGGTTACCGCGGAGAGTACAAGAGTTTTAAATCTAGATTTCGTTCATCAAGCGAAGGGCAAACGACCGAGAAACACAGATCAAATATTCCAGCCCAGTTGAGAACCACCAGCAGTTTGAATCCCGAAGGTTTAGGAGTATTTGAACCCAAAGTCTTCCTGGTAAAGGTTCGAACGCTACTGCTCACGTCCACGTGGCTGAGTGGCATTATGATTAGCTCGTGCTTGCATAGGCGTTTTGAATTAAGTAGGGTCTTCAAACTACCACACGGAATTTCTCCAGTTTGAACCCCAAAATGTTCATGCGAATCTCAGTGCCGAAACAGTTGTATTGTAAGACCCAGATTCGATAAAATCGTTTCGTTTTGGATTGCTCTACATAGCATAAAAGAACTCCACTATATTTCTGAATTTCTCAGCATGATCTAGCTTTGCTGCATCCCTGTGAGATCACAAACGCGTCAAACACTACAAGCATTGGGTGATGTTGCTATCACAGGCAGTCAAGTGACAAGGGCTGATTTCTGAAGTTTCGCTTTCAGCTGCCTCTCATTGTTCTGTGACCTGGCTTTTGCACATTCCTGCCTATCCTACCCAGGCATAATACATCAAAAACAGCTATTGCTTATTGGTTCGTCACAGATCTTCATGTGAAATTTGTGATCATGGAATGTCTTCCAATGGATTGCACAATAGACGAATCAGTTGAGTTCATCCGCACTGAAGCATTTGACGTGTGCATGAAAACATACGGTGAACCAGGATATCCGGATAGATCTGCAGATCTGGACAGTCTATGATCTGTCAAAACTACTGTATGTTTGGGATAGAAGCCCCGAGTACAGTAGATTCTTCAGTCTATAGTTTCCCGTTTTATCAAATAGATCCGGTTTGTGGAGGTGGTTAAGGATAACGTAATCGCAGTCTTATCTTTAGTTTGCTGTTCATTTGTCTTGTCAAGGATGCTTCAATGCATAAGTGTGTCAAGTTAATTCTCTCTTTCGTTTAACGTAGAGATCGCGTCAGTCAGACAGCTCAGAGGCAGAGTTTCGTGTTTCAAGCTATTGTGAGTCACACACGATTTATACCTCTATGTGGTGGCCTTCTGGAATATTTTCAGCAAGCTCCGAGAATTCAAGACTGACAGCTAATTAATCGCTAATGGAATAGAGGTTTGCTTTTGAGAGTTAATCGATCTGGAGTGAAAGTTTTAGGACCTCTCAGTTGATTTTGGTAGGTACTTCTGACCTGTAGGATGTCTTCGAGAATGGAATATTTACTGGAAAAGCAGGGCAAATAAACTCTATCCCCTTATACACTTCACTTTGCAGGATCCTCAGATTGAAACGGTCTACCCCATCGCTGCCTCTAGTACAGGCTTCAGAAGCATGACATAAAGTATTGGGAACAAACAAGATATTTACCGGAGTAAGACAAAAGCTAATAACACTTACAAACATACTGAAGGATTCACCCAAGCCAGCCTCGTTCCCATCAATGACAATTGACTGAACACGGACATTCTTGAAAAACGATAATTTCGATTTGACGATATAAACCAGCAGCGATCTCGACATTGGCATA